GATCCTCTCCCCGTTCTTTCTTTTTCTCGCCCTCCTTCCCTCCCTTTTTCTTTCCCACACACAATCTGGGAATTTATTTGGGTAAATTTTTCTGAAGAACTGGGGTACATCTGCAGTTTATTCATTTAAGCCACAGACAGGCCACTAGAGGGCAGTGTCATCATTAATCATGGAAACTCTCCTGCGTTCCTCTGGCTTCAGTATTTGAGGCAGGCCCATCTGCACATCCTGTGACAGGATGTTTCAGAACTTTTCCTTCAATTCCCATTGTAAATAAAAAACCTCAGGGTGGATACACCCAGATGCACATCCCAGCTAGTATGAACTGCCCAGGCCAAAGTTTCTGGTATACCTATAACAATCTTGCCCAAATTCATAGCACAGTTCAGAATCCAGGGCTTCAACTTGAATTTTTGTCCTTCTAAATTTCTTCCTGAGTTTTGGAATTTCTCCCATATGCTATCCTCAAGAGCAAAAGGAACTTTTCAAAGAAATGAAGAGTTAAATAATCCAGCACAACCTGTTTGTACAAGATTCTGTTTTGTTTCCATATTCAAGTTGCAAGTGTTTGGCTTGCTCAAAAGCAGGGTTGCCCAACTGGTCAAAAGCTATTAGGAGATTAGTCATGTGTGCAAACACAGGGACCAAGAGCTACATGTTTCTCTCCACCAGAGGCACTGAGAGTGTAAAGTGGGCCCAGTAAATTTGGTCCTAGTTAAGTATGCCAAAGAAAGCAAAGTTGCTAGAAGTTTTGGGCTTTTTTTGGCATTATTCCCCTTCTTGTGAGTTCAACTAGTGTTCCTAGGCAGACTTTGCACCCTTGCATGGGGGCAGACTAGCACCTGATTTTTCTGAAATTAGTATTTTAAGAAGCCATGCAAACTAACCTACTGACCGAAAATCTGGGTGCAATTATAAATCATCAGGTAAAGGACAAAACGTGGCATGGATATTGCTGCCCCAACACTGGTGCGCACTCCTTCAAACAACTGGCGTCTGCGGGCATCAAGCTCATCCCCAGTTTATCAGCAGAGGCAGATAAGGTAAGGGAAACATCTGCAGCCAGAGAGATTTCTGGAATTTTCCTACAGTGCTGAAATACCATCCAGAATTCAAGTGGGCCATATTTAGACAAAGATTGCCATGTTATTTTTTCTATCTTTTGTATTTTCCCTGCTATATAATAACATTAACACTCTTTACACAGGTCAGTACTATTTACCTAAGACTTTCCCACAGGTTTCCCTTCTTTCCTACCATCTCTTCTCAAAGGATCATGAGTACGTGCTATACTTTTTTGAGGGGAATAATAAAAGAGAGGAAAAGTGTATAGAAATTAGTCAGGTGGGGATTGTAACTCAGCAAATCCACATTTACTGAGGGGAAGATGGAGCTGAAAATTAGTCCCAAGGTTTAAAGATTATGTTTCAATAGAAGGCTTCCAGAGTTGGGCCAACACTGTGTTTCACAGCAGGTGAGGAGAGGAAAAAGTACAGAAAAACAAAATACAAGAAAATGCTATGGAAGATAACTCCTGAGTAAAACCTGACTAGGTGGAATGTTGACAAAGGCTGGAGATGGACTCAGGAGTTTTGGGGATGGCACCCGTGGCCTTCATCCACCTACGCACAACCCCGGGAACATTACCAAGAAGGCATCACGGCCTTTTCTTTTACAGGCACCCGCTTTACAGGACTGTGCCCCAGGAAATCAGGGAACAAGCACCTCTTTGCTTCCACCTTCTTTACAACTCCAAGATTTTGGCACACTGGGACAAACAAAAACAGGTAGGAAAGGATAAACAGAGGAGATTCCAGCCGTAACTGGCTAAATAGAGTTGCTTTAGAAAATAACTTGGCTTTAGTCTGTATTATTCTGAATGTATAATCAATGTGGCCCGTCTTTTTCCAGGAAAAAACTTTTGCTTTGCTTTTTTCCTTCTACACTTTCACTCAGAATGAATGGCTTCCTGATTCACATGCCCTCAGAAAATGTGTTTGGAATAGAGACTCCCTGGAATCACAGATTAAAATGCCAGCAGAATTGAGTATGTTCTTCCCTATTCTGAGCTGGTTAAATGAGAACTCATGCCGTTTTCCATGCAGGGAACTTCTCAGGTAAGACTATTAAAGCCATGGAGCCATCTACTTAGTGTGGTTATTAAAATCTAGTGTGCTTATTAAAATCCTATGGCACTCAGGTAAATAGTGTGTAAATTGGCAGCCAGAACTTCTCTTCCCGTTCAGGCCTCTATATTTCCTGGATCTATAGAAGCAAAGCAAATAGGAAATATTTGGGCCTTCTCACCCATTTTGAAGATATTAACTGAGCACCTGTCCAATGTATTAGCCACTGGAGTACAATAATGAACAAGATCTAGCAGTCTTTGCCTTCAGAGTCTAGAGTCATGAGGGAAACAAGCCAGTTAAAGGCAATTATAACTTCACATCCACTAGGGTAACTATCATTTTAAAATGACACAAAAAACAGTACATAACAAGTGTTGGCAAGGAGGTGGAAAAATTAGAACCCTCACAGACTGTTGTGGGAATATAAAATGGTATAGAAATGGTGTAGAAAACAGTTACCACATGACCCATCAATTCCATCTTTAGGTACATATCCAAGAGAATTAGAAACATATGATCACACAAAAACTTGTACACAAATGTTCCTAAGAAGCATTATTCATAATAGCCAAAAAGAGAAAATGACCCAAACATCCATAAACTAATAAATTAATGGCTGGATGAGCAAAAGGTAGTATATTCATACCATGGAATATGATTCAGCCATAAAAAGGAATGGAGTACTGACACGTACTACAAAATGAACCTTACATTATGCTTAAAGAAGCCAGACACAAAAAGACAAATATTGTATGATTCCAATTATATGAAATGCCTAGAACAGGCAAATACATAGAGGTAGAAATTAGATTAGCAGTTGTCAGTGGATGGGAGAAGGGGGGATTGGGGAGTGACTATGAATAGGTGTGTGATTTCTTTGGGGGATGATAAAAATGTTCTGAAATTATACAGTGGTGATGGGTGCATAACCCTATAAATATAAAAACCACTGAATTGTATGCTTTAAAAGGGTGAATTTTATGGTATGTAAATTGTATCTCAGTAAAATGATGTAATTATAATGCCATGTGACAAGTACCTCATTAGAACAGAGTGCTGTTTGACATATTTGGAGTGGAGCTGGAGGAGTCCACAAAGGCTTTCTGAAAGAGGCGGTTCTCAGAGACCACGAAAGACAAGTAGGAGTAAGAGAGACAAAGGAGGAGGAATGATCAATGCTGAAGAGAGAGCAAAGCATGCCCCGTGCTGAGGGAAGAGAGCACATGGTACTGGGGGGGAGGGGGGGAGGGTGCAGAAAGTTCTGCTAAGCCGAAGCAGTGCTGGCAGTGGGCCGAGGAGAGAACGGAGCCTAGGGCTAGAAGGGGCTGACAGGCTATGCTAAAGACTTTGGACTTTGTCCTGATTATAAGGGAAAACCCTTGCAAGAGTTAAAGCTCAGGAGCAACAGATCTGCTCTGCTCTTCGGAAGGGTGCTTCCAAGTGCAGTGTGAAAAACAGACTGGAAGTGAAGCAAGGCTAGTGGCTGGGGGATTAATTAGGTTACAGCACTAATACAAGTCAGAACTGACCAAATAGGGAAAACTGGAAGGTACTGGGGAAGTTTATCCAAACTCTCTGTAATGCCCTGCCAACCCTAACAGCACTGGACTCCCCCAGAGCAAGAAGATAATAGTTTCGTAAGGAGGTAGTGCTGAGGCTGACAGCCGGCCCTATCCCCGCTTTTAGTCTAAACTTTATATTCAACCCCCTCTAGACTTGGCTTCTCTTTTCAGACCACCATGACCATAAAGATCCTCACCATTTCCAATGGAAAACTAGTCTACTCTTCATAGAGTATGAAATTGAGAGTCAGAAACACTTGGATTTCAAATTCCTACTCTGCCATTTTCAAACTATGTGACCTTGAGTAAGCCATTCCATTTCTGATCTGTTTTCTTCAAATGTGAAATTTGGAAGATACTACCTATCTCATAGTTTTTACTGAGGGTTGTGACTACAAATGTAAAAAGAAGCTTTCTACCAGGTCTGTCCTGTAGTGGGTGCCCAATAAATGTGGTTCTGTACCATTCAAGCCCTCTGAGATGGTAACTCTGTGGTTAAAGTTTCCATCATAATTCTTCAATGCGAGCATGAAGTTGAAGAGTAGTAAGTCAGTCTTAGGCACGGTGCTGTCAATATTTTAGCAAGCTAGGAAAGACTATTCCACTAACAACCTAGAAATAGGTATTTGCCCAGATGACAAACATAAGTCATGCATCCATGGCTCCTTAAGTACGACTTCAAAATCAAATATATTTAAATTAATTCTTAAAAAGAAAGTCTGAGAGCTCCTCAGACAAGTCATGAAACAGGGCTTGTTTACACCCAAACGGAAAGGCCAAAGTTCCAGGTAAAGGCTCTCCTTTCTAGCAGTTCAGCATAACTCCCAGGCAGCAGACCATATAAATAGTTTGAGGCACTGAACAAATGGAATGCTGTCTGGAATGATAATGTGGAGAGAGAAAAACAGGTCATGTAAACACAGCAGGCAATTTAATATAAAGAAACACATTTAACAAGCCACCTAGAGCTTTCTAGGCACAAGTGTCTGATTAGGTTTTTATGCAGAAAGGAACACATTTAAAGAACAGGCAAGAATAGAAAGTATCACAAAATGTCTTAAAGCCTTACTTAAGGAGCTTATTGTTATCAGCACTAAAACCAAGGTCTTTACTCTTCTCCTTTCCCAGGTTGCAATTTCTAGTGATAAAATGTAATTTTAACACTGATGTAACCTAAACAAGCCCCTAAACTTCCGGAAAGATTTCTCTCTCTCCCTTTCTCTCTCTCTCTCTCACACCCACACCCAATTATCTTCCATGTATTTGAAATGTTTCCCTCTGACCCTCTTCCTATCCTAAGAAAATTTACCTCCAAAGAAACAACAATCTTCCCAAGTAATTTTCTTTCTTCGCGGATCACTGTAATGGGTTTCCGAAAGCACAAGGTGGCAGAAGCGCACTAGAAATGCAACTGGAATCAGCTTGGGCATCCTGGAAACTGCAGCAACAATCAAGTTATTTTTTAGAAAAATAAAAGAGACTTCTCCGTTGTAAGAACAAATATGCTCAATAAAGTTTGGGAAATATAACTGTAAAAAGAAGAAAGAATTCTATCACCCAGAGATACAAATGTTTAATTCTTCTTCCAACTATCTCAGTAGTTGTGATTATACTAGAATATGCAACTTTATATCCTCCTTTTTAAACTTTAATAAGGTAAGCACTTTCGAACCTTATTTATTCATATATCTCGTTTCAAAAAAGATTTAAGGCATCTTCATATGTCCATATTTTTGTAAACCCTTTAAAAAGTTCATTTATTAGACTGTGGCTTATTTAATCTAGCCATTTTCCTATTACCAACAACTATTTTAAGTGAAACATACTCAATAATGTCTCACCCAGTAAATTTACATTTTTAAGATGCCATTTCCAAAAAGAAAAAACCCAATTATCAGAGAGAATCAGAACTGAACAAATATAATGGTAACCATTTTTTTCTAAAACAGAGAATGAAATGATGGTATCCTTCTCTGTCCAAACAGCATCTACTCAAAGACCTTTGTAACTCCAGTAAGCAAGTACAGAACATATGATCTCTTGAGCTGACCTGTGTGTAATTGGATCTTATTTTTCAAACCTCTATCTATAGTGTATAATATGAATTATATGCGTGTATAATTGTATATTTATGTATAATTTTATATGTAGGAAATACTGCCTAATAAATTTTTTTAAATATTTCAGTTCTTCCCAAAGCAGCCAAAGGTCATTTATACTTTTAAAAGACTGCCACTAATTAGATTTGCTCCTGGAAAATTAACCAAAGCCAAAATTTATTACTGCTTTGGAATCATGAATCTGAATGCTGAAAAGAACTGTATACAAGTACCTTTGGTCGAGTCACCCATTATTATTTCCCTCTATTCAGGCAAGTGAAGCCTGCACCAGTTATCAGGCAACTAAGTAGGAGGCGTGGTACTTAGAACTCTGTAGCACCTGGAAAAATTTCGTATGTTTCAGGTCCTTAATTCATACCTTTAACACACAGGTCAAACTGAGAAATTAGAAATAATGTGATGACTCCTCCCCTTTTTTAAATGAAAACTTAATTTGTTAAATGAGCAAAATACTGACTTCTGTAGGAGGGAAAATTCAATTGTCAGGAACAAATATTACATTCAAGAAACTCCTGAATGCTAAGTCCTGACTCTCTCCTTTGTCAGAACTTAGTAGGTACCACATGAAATTCTCTTCAAAGAACAACTCCACTCATGACTCCCCCCACCCCAGTCAGAACTCCAAACTAAAGGGCTCTCACTCTGATGGCTTCACTAGCTCCTTCCCAGCCTCCTCCTTCCCAGGCAGCTTTGAAAAAGTTTCTCTTTTATTCAAATGCTCTCAGTCAGTTCACAGAGGGGATTTCTTCTCCTCTGAGCACCAATGTTAAGTCTTCAGGGTTCAATACATTGCAAGTTGGAAATAGTGGAAGGGGTAAAAAATCAGCTTAAAGAAATTCATTATTAGTGCAGGAACTTACTGCACTTTCTCCACATTTCTTCTCCTTAGGCCTATATAAGAAGCTCAAGAGTCGGCGCCTGGGTGGCTCAGTCGGTTAAGCGACTGCCTTCGGCTCAGGTCATGATCCTGGAGTCCCAGGATCGAGTCCCGCAGTCCCGCATCCGGCTCCCTGCTCAGCGGGGGGTCTGCTTCCCCCTCTGCCCTCTCATGCTCTCTGTCTCTCATTCTCTCTCAAATAAATAAATAAAATCTTTAAAAAAAAAAAAAAAAGAAGCTCAAGAGTCTAGATAATCTGACTGTAAACTCAGTTTCAGAAACTTTTTCTGCCTCCCTGATTGCTGAGGTTCCCCAAAGATTGGGCTTATCTATTTCCAGAGTCCTGGAGAAGATGAAGAAGCAAGAGCCTTGTCTATGGAGCATCCACATGTTAAAAGCCTAGAGACTGTGGTTTGGGAAAGCTGAAAAAGTAAACACCAACTACGATGACTGGAGACGCTGATTTTTCCTTTGCTCAGTCTTGTCCCCAAACTTCCAATAAAAATAATTTAGGTTTTTGCCCTCAGAACTATTCCTTACAGAAACTGCTTACCATCATACAAGAATAGCTTCCCCTTTTTTTTTGTTTATTTGTTTTTCCTCTATTTCTATTCTTTCCCACATAGATTAAACCAAAATAAGATTAGCCAGAGCGAATTTGATTCCAATCCAAACCACACACTCTATGTATTCCATTCCAAATCAAGCTTAATTTACTGACTTCCTTGGGTCCCAACTGAATGACCTACTGGAATTCATGAACAAGGTCACAGAATATTATTGCAGGCCAAAAAAAGAATGTGAAAAACACAAACAAGCCTGGAAACAGATTGGCCCAAAGACATGACTTGGTTAAGATGTTTTTTGTGGAATTCAAATGATAAAAGATCAAGTCTTCTGACAGAAAAAACAGCTAACAGAGAAGCAGATGCATTTGCATTTACATATCATTCATTCATTCATTCAGCAAATATTTATTGAGTACCTATCATACAATCGGCCCTTCCATACTCACGGACCTTACAATAGTATAAGAGACTTGAAGAGAACATCTGCTTTTCTGGTGCCCAATTTTGCACTGAACAACTGTATGTTGTGAAATCTGTGGGCATAAGCTTTATTTTTTATCTGCTTTATCTTTTGGTATTTTAGAAGCTGAATTAAAAACCTCCCTTTTGATTCTGGCAACCCATAACTTTTGGATTCTTTAATCCAAAGGATTTTAGACTTTTTTTTTAACCTTCTTTGAAGTCAAGATTGACCTCTAAAAGATAGAGCCAATTTCATTTGATAACAATATAAGAGCTAATAACATAACAGCTTTATATGGTTTTAAACTAGTGATAAGTCACTAATACTGTTATAGCTCATGTTACAAACTTCCACAATATTTTGGATCGAGAATTCCTCCCTATGATTCAGAAGATTCCTGCTTAGTCCTTAATCTTTGGTTTTGCTTTAACAACATATCATCTGCCCCATTTGGTTTAAAAACAAAAATTAAACACATGATAACAACAGAGTATAAATAGATCAGACTTTCATAAATAGAACAAAAATGTTCACTTCTTGGTTAGCGCATGTCATTTTGGTGGACAGGAAATCAGAAAAACTATTTTAGTTCCCATTTCAGCATTATTTAGCTGATTAACTTTGGGCAAGTCTCTCAATTAAATCGGTATGAAAATTGTCCTTTAAGTTTTACAAGCAGTACAAAATCATTAATTGTAAAATATTTTACATAGTTTCTAGTGCTACTGGTATATGAATTCTGAAAAGGTCCAGAAAAAAAAACCCATTTCCAGTTTCATCTCATGTAATATCTTAAGAGACAAGGTACATTTTTTTGAGGTTTCTTGTTTAATATCTAGAATATTGTGTTCACATTCAATGAATTCTTTAAATTCCTTTTACTGACATTCATTTGGACCATGAATCCAGAATCATGGAGGTATTTTCCCTATTACAAGAATAGACTGACTGGTTTGCTCAAGTTACACAGTAAGTTAGTAGCAGGATCAAAGGTCAAAATCTCTGATCGATATCCTAAGCATGCCAGGATCATTAGGTAACACCTCTGCTATCAAGTGAGAACTGTGACACCCTCTCTAATATCAACAGAATTCTCTGAGCCTTATTTTAGCCATCAGTTCTTTCAGTTCACATACTAAATCTTTTTACCAGATCTGCTGCCTTCTCTTTCTCTATTCATGCCTAACGAGCAAAGACACAGATAAAAGGAAACCTGTAAGTGCAGAGGCAAAGAATGTGAATAATCCACAAGCCAGAAAAACCTGACTAAATGAGAATTGACTAAATGGATTTCTTTTCTACAGTTTAGAAAGTGAATTTCCTGAAATCATATGTTGAGTCTCAGGATATACAGCAAGGTACAATGTGAGTGCAATTAAATTTCATGAAAACTTTTACATAGTCATAACATGGAAATGAGTAAGCTAAAAGAGAAAGAAAACACCTGTCACAACTCTGTTACCAGAATAAAACAGTAAAAAATCATCAAAATCTTCCAGAAAAGTTAGTATAGTCATCCAAGGTCATTTACAAATTGGCTGGAGAAGATCTATGGGTAATACAGACCCAGTCCTTACAGATTAGGAAGAACTGGAGGATAGAGACAAAGCATATGTGGAAATAACAATACCAATCGTTCTGCATTTACCATATGACACATATTGATCCAGGCATTCTTTACATCTTACTTAATTCTTACAAATGCTAGATCGTAAAGTTTCACCAATCCTTTCAGAGAATTAATCTCTCCTTCCTCTGTGCTTGTTTATATTATGTCTATCCTTTAACTATATGTAAATTTATTGAAAACAGAGGCAGTCTGATTGCTTTTAGTACTGCCTTGGGCATCTATCATAGTGCCCTGCCCAATAAACAGTACAGTTTAAATGAGTTGTTTTCAAACTTTGGATGCATAAGAATTATCAACAGATTTGTTAAAAGGGCAAATCCCCAGGCTCCAGAAAACTGGACTCAGTCAGTACAGCTGAACTGAATCTAGTGATTAATTCAGATATTCAATAAACATTTAATAAGTACTCTATGTGGTACGTGTTATTAACTCCACTTTATAGACAAAGAAAGACATGGGTAAAGTAACTTCCTAACAGTCATAAAACTTGTAATAAATAAGACTCAGAGTTAGGCTAACATAGCAATCAATCAAGGTTCTCATTCACTCATTCATTCTTTCTTACATTTACTTACTCAACAAGTATTTGAAAACCTCCTATGGGCTTTCAAAAGGAAAATGTAGGCAGACACTAAATGTCAATTATTTCTGTACCATTAGCTGACAGTCCTGGAAAAGCTTTCCCCTACCAATGTAGCCCGGAGTAGCCATCAGAAAGGGTGCACATCTAGAGGAGGAAAGGGATGTCCTAGAGTTTTATTTCTAGATACAGCAGCAATTCACTATTTTAGGAATAGCTTTTTACTTTGTATACTAAATTTTTTCAATTGGGAATATATTTTTTAAAATACCCTTTCAATCTCTTTTCCTGTGTAGCGGCTTAGTTGGCTATTTTTAAGACATTAAGAAAATCCAACTATCTTCTTCAATCCATTACCTTTGGTACCCCTACCAATTTAAATTGAAGTCCCAAATATTTTTAGTTGAAAAACTAAACTCTATTGCCTGCCTTAATTTTTCTTACTAATCTCACTCATAGGGAAAAAAAAGTTCCTATTTCTGAACTTAATTAAAATAGAGATTGGGGCACCTGGGTGGCTCAGTTGGTTGAGCACCCTACTCTTGAGTTCAGCTCAGGTCATGATCTCAGGGTTGTGAGCTCAAGCCCCATGTCGGGCTCTGTGCTCAGCAGGGAGTCTGCTGGAGATTCTCCCTCTCCCTCTCCCTCTGCCCCTCTTCATGTGCAAATACGCTCTCTCTCTCTAAAAATAAATAAATCTTAAGTAAATAAAATAGATGAAACTTTCTTATACTTTACAAATTTCATATAATGACAAGGAAATCAGCTGTTTAAGCTGAGCAAGGTAATATCCTACTAGAGTGATATTAATCAGATATGTAAGATCTAAGAATGGGCAAGTATAAAATCCAGTATTTGAGGAGAGAATACAACAAAAGGAATGAGACTATGTGTACAATTTCAAATTAATATATATAATTGGACAATAAAATGTCCACATGCCAGTTAACTCTTTTTTTAGGTCAGAAGACAAACATTCCTTTCAAATTTGTGCAATTCAGAGGGAAAAATGTTTTGTTCTAATCCTTTTTTAAATACCCCTGTGGCATTGTGCCACAAAAAAAATCATCCCCAGTACCTACACCTATAATTCCCATCCTCTGTTTTGCTGCCTTACAGTATGCATATCCAAATCAACAAAAACTCCTTCTTGTTATCAAGGAGCAGGTCACTAGACAAACAACCTCTTGCTTTGATATGCTTGCTATTCTCTGTTATCAGGACATACTGGTCACTAGTAATCAGGTACACTGAAAAAACAAGTGGAGAAGTAGAGAAAGAAATTGACTTGTTGCCAACCTTCATGAATTCATGCTGATTCACCCTGTTTGTTTAATTCCCATATCAGCTTGGCTAATGACACTGCCCTGGAACATATTTGTTCAAGAGTCCAGGCAGAGGCATTTCTTAGTAGGAAAGCAGGCCCAGGATGAGGCTGGGGATTTGAAAGAAGGGAGACCTACCTGGGAAATACTCAGAGCTTCTCAAGTAAACTAACTCAAGAAGCTCTTTATTTCTAAAAGATATTTTCCTTTACCCAAGGCTTTGCTCAATGTTCCTTCAATAGCTACATTTAGCAGGGGATATAGAGATTATATTACACTTGAATCAATACATACTGCATTCTTTTTTAGGACAGAGTTTTGACTTGCTTCTAAGGACAGATAACCTCCCTAGAAAAACAGATATATAAAACCAGATGGTAGTTTTATTACTTATCCAGAGCTTCCTGATTTTTTTTTTTTTAATTTCAGGAAAGAGAACCATTATAATGTTCTCAACTTCCCTGGCACAAATCACACAATAAGAGTTACTTCATTTTAATTCTTTTCCCATCATAGCTATGAACAGGCATTGTATCACATATCTTACATGATTTATCTCATTCATTCTTCACAATTGACAAGTTAGTACTACTTTGTCTTGTTGCAGATGGTGAAATTATAAAGCAACTTGCTCAAGGTCACACAGCTAACAGTGGTACAGCCAGGATCTGAATTCAAGTAGGTCTAACTTGGAAACTCATGCTCAAGTGGGTTGGAAGCTGTCACTTCAATAGGTAGTGTGTATACAAAGAGCATTAGATGCGGCCCTCAGCTGTAATACCATGATTCATTAGATGATGAATACATTTCCTAAATATTCCTGGCTATGGTTGATACCAACCCTCCCTCCCCAACTCCTTCAAAGTTTGCTTCAAATGCTAGGTCCTAAAGAAGTCTATCCCAGTCCTTTAGGAATTCAATCTCTCACTCCTCTTTTACTTGTGTAGATTCTATTCTTTAACCATATGTAAGCTTTTTGGGAACAGAGACAGTCTTACTCCTTTGAATATTCCTGTGGATGCCAGGGGACTCAGGTGTAGAAAGAGAGGAACTATCACACTTAAAACACTGCCTCCGACTATCTGTGACACTAAATTGAAATCATGTTCTAAAGAGATAAAGAGTTAATTTCTCTTCTCCATCAAAAAGTAAGTTTTATAACTTTCTGTATCTTATAGTGTTTTGTAATCTCTAACCTTCCCTCTAAACAGACCCATGTTACAGACTAATCTTGTCAGTAGTCAGACACCTCAGTTTTCAGGTCCTAGCAAGATATGATTCCACTTATACCACCATGTAACATCAGGGTAAATGACATGCTCTTCTCAGTCTTACCTCCTCATCTGCACAGAGATCATCAGCTTTTTAAATGTTAGGAAGATATTATAAACCCATTTGAGACCAAATAAGAGAACCTCCTCAAGTAGCCTGGGAAAGAGAAACAGCTCATACCAAATTTCTATTTTTAAGAGTTTTTAAAAATCTAAGTATAAAAAGACTAATGCTAGTCTATAAGTGAACCAAGGGTAAATCCTCAAAACTGGATCTAATTCTCCCACATATGAAATGAAATAAATTTTTTAGGCAAGAACCACAGCAAAAGGATAAAATGTCCTAACCACTCAGTTACAAAAAAAAAAAGGCAATTGATGATTTCATCACAGGGAAGTGTTTCTCAAGTAACTAGACAACAAAAGCCTGTAAAGTACACTGTACTTAGTTCCACCTCAACTGCAGAGCTCAGAAGAAAAGAAAAATTCAGGAAGAAATAGTTTTATTTAGCTGTGGGTGACTTTGGGAATTTATGAGCTATAGGAACACAGATATTTGAGATCCATTATAAAATTAAACATAGAAACTGAATAATTACAAATACTTCCGAAGATCAGAAGGTACTAGAAAATTGGGGCCTTGACTCCCACTGAGGACTTACTAGCATCAGCCACTGAAGACATGATTTTGGGGCAAAACTAAAATTCATATAACAAATTAATGACAATATGAATTCATGCTCTAAATCAACAATCACTCTCAATTTCTCAAGATCAGGGGAATAAATCCTTTCCAAACATTAGATTTATAAGCATGATTTTGAGAACACAAACTATATAGCCCATGACATGTATCAAGGCTACCATTGCTGTCAAAAGATAAATGAATTTCAATTCTCATCTTTTGGAAAGGTCCAAAGAACATTCTAAGAAGCAACCACTCCTCAACCCTATGTCCACTTTTTTACTGGAAAATAAAGAATAAAATGATGTAGATTAGGATTTTTTCACTGCTGTCCCTTGTACCTAGAACAAAGCTTAGCACAAAGTAGTGTATAGTAAGTATTTGTGAACCAATACAAGATGCAAGAATTTAGGCTACAGCTGGTTTCCATATTCAGGAATAAAAGAGTGGATCCTTCCTTCTGGATGAAGGTATTGGCAGGAGTAAAGGATTTTGCCAATATTAATTATTAGGTGCTCCCCTAGGATGGCTGCCAGCAACTGGGTTTTATTCAGAGCACAGTTTAAGGACTCTTGATGGCCCAATCAGTCACATGGTAACTTCACAACCTGCCTTAGCCATCATCCAACTTTTTTTTTCATTTAAAAAAGTAAAAAAAAAAAAAAAAAGGTAAAGTAGTTTATATTAAGCAACATGTACCCTAACACTCAACTTGATGCCTTCTAAAAAAAATCTAGTGTAGGCTGTTCTTTCAGCCAACCGGTCCCGTCCCCCTTCTTTAATAAACCACCATTTTGCACCAAAGACATCTCAAGAATTCTTTCTTAGTCGTCGGCTCCTGAACTCAACCCACCGAATTTCACCTATAGTCCAAAACCCCATCAAGAAGAGCAACCCTTGGACTTAACACCACCCACTTCAGATTTCCCCACCAGGTGCGGGAACCTCAGGATATATTGGGGACCTCGAGGAGAGGAATCCGCCCACATCTATAGTATCTCTCCACTTAGTGCTGAGACTCCGTCCCTACTATGATTTCACATCAACAGATGATTCTTACCACCCACAGAGATACTTCCTTACTGACTTCCTGTCAGCCTTAGATTCAGCTGCCTCCCCTTTCGTAACTCCCCTGGGTAGGGACATCTCTGCCCCTTTTCAGCAGGAGGACGTTTTACAGAAAATGAGACCTTCCGCCTTCAACAACCTTAGATTTAAGGGTCAAAATTGCTCAGGGAGGAAATGAGGAGGGAGCAGAAGGGGCTAGCTGAAGACAAAGCAGAAGCATACACCCTGCAACCTCTTCCACCCCCACCCCCACTCTGGGTGGGACATGAGTGACATTCTTCCAGGAATCTCCCAGCTGTTTTAAGGTTAATACCTTGCTGGGGGAGAAACAACCTTGACAATGGCAAAGTCTCTGGTATCTTGTAAATCAGTCCTCTTTAGCATATGAAAAGTTCTTTTGAAATCTCCCTTTTCCTTACTTGCCCCAACATGGGGACAGAACCCATGCTTTAATAAACCACCATTTTGCACCAAAAAAAAAAAAAAAAATCTAGTGTAGTTAACATACAGTGTGGTATTAGTTTTAGGTGTACAATATAGTGATTCAACAATTTTGTTACTCAGTGCTCATCAAGATAAAAGTACTCTTGTAACTCCCTCACCTATATCACCCATCCTTTTTCTGGTAACTATCAGTTTGTTCTCCATAGTTAAGAGTCTGTTTCTTGGTTTGTCTTTTTTTTTTTTCCCTTTGTTCATTTGTTTCTTAAATTCCACGAGTGAAATTATGTCTTTCTCTGACTTATTTCACTTATACTCTCTATCTCCACCCATTCACCGCAAATGGCAAGATTTCATTCTTTCTTATGGCTGAGAAATATTCCATTGTATATTACATATACCCCCCACTCCACACACACATTTTCTTCATCCATTCATCCATCAGTGGACACTTGGGCTGCTTCCATATTTTGGCTATTGTAAATAATGCTGCAATAAACACAGGGGCACATATATCTTTTCAAATTAGTGTTTTCATATTCTTTAGGTAAATAATCTGAGGTGGAATTACTGGATCATATGGTAGTTCTATGTTTAATTTTTTAGGACCCTCCGTCCTGTTTTCCACAGTTGCTGCACCAGTTTGCATTCCATCATCCAACATTCTTAGTCCTCCTCTTCACCAGGACTGCCTCACAACCAGCTGTGAAGACTTATCAATGGCTGGCACCACTGCATAGAGTCTCATTTAGAGGTGACTAGAGATGGAAATGTCTAGTCTCTATTAAAATCCATAGTATGAGTTTGAGTCAAATTTTAATGTGGTGGGGTGAAGAAACTGCAATTTGGTCACTTTTTTATGAATTTTAGCTTATTATATAAGCTCTCTTTTCACACCCAACTTACAGAATATCTATACATTTTTACACAGTTATGTGGCTGCATTCTAACTTGAACACTTTCAAGTGATTTACCTACTCAAATAAAATCTTGACTTTTAATAATTAATCTGAGATTCTCAACAAGCATGAATAAATTTCAAAAAAATCAAGATATGTTTAAGATCTACCTTCTATTTGCACAGAAAATGAATGAGAAAATATTTAAATGAAAAATGGCAAAGGAACAAGTAGACTTCTGTCACCTCCTTAAAAATTTTCCAGTAAAAGTACAAGTTGGAATGTTTCAATATCCATATAGTTTTCACAGTTAAGAAGAGCTCTATAAATGTCCTCTGGTTTTTATATCATCTGATAATTTCAATGGCTATCAAGGCTTTAATTTTCCACAAAGAAAGGTAGCTCTTGATTCTGGGTCTTGAAAAGGAATGTACAGGATGAGAATGAACACCTTATGCTGGAAACAAGGAAGGGCCAAAAGGACACAAAAGCCAACTTGGAAGGGACTCCTACTAGCTAAATATGAGACAATGTAGACATAAAAATAATAACTGCAGTGGACTAAAACACACTAAATATATAAACAAACATATGACTTACCTTTGGAGGTTCCTTTGGCTGTGGCCTATTATTATTAAAATGATAAAGGGAAGCAATATGATCTTATCTTACTCATATTTTAAGGAATCAAGTAATTGATAAATGGAAGTTTCCCTTTAAAGAATTCCAACTACAATTCCAATGTAAATAGAATGATAGAATTAGAAAACTATATGATCTAATGATATAATGGGTCTGGGCAATAATTATCAATGTTTGCTAAACTATTACATAAAAGGTTGATGAGAAACTTTAAAATAGAGTAATGAAGCTAACAGTATCTGAATCTGTTATTCTTAACATTACTAAAAAGTGAGAAAAGACATAGGGTACCTCCTTATGTGATTCAATACAAAGTACACACACCTATGAATTATTGTCCAAAAGTATATATATTGAATCTAATAAAGCCTTTACATCTAATCAACAATTTGCAGGAAACACCGGGGATAGAGGAACAAATTAAACAGCATCATTAAGATGTAATCAGTCAAATCCAGAATGTGGAAAATTCTACAGAGCAAATTATCTAATTTCTTCAATTTGAAAAATGGCATAAAAATTGGAGATGTGTGTAATTTATAGGCTAAAAAAGACTTAAGAGACACACCAACCAAATGACTCTCATTTGGATCTTTATTTGAATAAACTAACAGTAAAAGGACACTTTTGAGGTATCTGGGGAAATTTGAACATAACGTACTTACTACCTGATGTGAGAGCCATGCAAAGGGGCCTCTTCTAACCTCCTACTGTGGGGAGGGTAATTAACTGACAGTTCTAGCTGCTGTGGTCTGAATCCACCATGGTCTTCAATGTTTATCCCTGCTTCCTACTTCCTACGGCTGCTTCCTATGGCTGTTCCCTGCCAACAAAAGAGTATAGCAGGAATACAAAGTCAAGCCCACTCCTGTAAGATGTGGGTCTACTCTGATGAACAGGCACCTTTGGTCTGAGGACTTTTACACCTTCCTAAAACTTTTTTCAAACTGCACTATGTATTAAGACTGCCTGCTCAGCCATCCTTCTTCCCTCTCTCCTTCATAGTAGTCAGACCTGTACTGAGGTCTGCCAGCCTCTCCTAGCTCCTCACAGGTATTTTCCCCCAATAAATCCCTTGCAGTCCTTCCCCTCAAGAACCCAATCTAAACAGATGATATCAAGAAATTAGCATTAAATTTGTTAGGTATGATAATATTGTGGTTATTTTTTAAGTCCTTATCTATTAGGGATACATTCTCAAGTTTTTATAGGTGAAATGATAGGATGATTGAAATTTAACTTTAAAATACCCCAGCAAAAAAAAAAAGAAAAAAATGGGGGATAAAATAAGAGTAGCAATATATGGATCATTATTTTATCAACTTCTGTGCATATCTGAACATGGCCATAGTAACAAGTGAGAAATACCTGACCTGTAATCCTCAAAAGCTCATCAAATCCTGTCAAGGTCATCAAAAATAAGAAAAGTCTAAGAAACTTTCACAACTAAGAGGAGTGTTACGAGATATAACTACTAAATGTAATGTGGTATCTTAGATTGGATCCAGGAACATTAGGGAAAAAGTGAGGAAATATGAATCAAGTATGGACTTTAATAATAATGTATCAGTACTGGTTCATTAATTGTGACAAATGTACCATACTAATGTCAAACATTAGTAATGAGGCAAACTGGGTGTGAGGTATTCAAGTACTCTCTGTACTACCTTCATGGTAATTCTATAATCTAAAATTGCTCTAAAGTATTTAAAAAGCAGAAATAATTAAAAATAATAAACTATCTGGAAATAAAAAAATTATTCTAAATCAATAAACATAGACTTTAAAATTTTTCTTTACTCACTGATATGCAACACTGGATTTCTCCTCACTGATCAAATAGCTAGAAGATGTTACTGATTTTCTGAGTTCACAGTAAACTGAAGATTCAACCTCCCCATGAGCCACCCCAGTGTCCACACATGCAAAAAACAAAACAAAACAAAGACCAACAAAAACAAAACTGTAACTAATGAAATATACATTTATTTGTTCCAATCAAGTTTTAGAATTTGAAAAAAATGCATTCGTTACTAAAAACCTTCAGGCAATAACAGAGATCCAGCTTAACACAGTAAAACAAAGATTTCATTCCACAGTCTCCTGGACTTAAGAATCCATTTGAGTTCCAGAGATAATACTAAACTAATGCAGTTATGTCAAGCCACTAATCTCCACACTGGGGCTTTTCCTGATACAGTCTTTTGCACTGTAAGCAACAACAAAAAGACCACTTTTTTTTTTTTTAACAAGTTCATGCTATATTATTTATATAATGTCCAAAGAAAGACCAAGATCTTTCCCTAAAAATAGAAATGCACAATGCAAACTTGCAAGCTTTGACCTGCATCAGAATCACTTGAAGGGCCTGTTAAAACATAGATTGCTGAGCCCACCTCATTCAGGTGTTGGGTGGGGCCCAAGAGTTACTATTTCTAAGAGGTTTCTTTGTGAAGCCAGTACTGCTGGTGTGGAGACCACACTTTGAGAACCACTGGCAAAATGTTTAATAGGACAAGGATTATGTCATAAAAGTGAGTATGTTACAGTGTAAGCACAAAGCACTGCTTCGTAACTTTGGGCAAATTACCCTTCCTAATCTGTACTTGGCACTTTAAAGAATCAAATAAAAACAGTATTTAAGGCACTCAACACAATGCCTGGCAAATAGTGCTACTGAATTTCTAATTATTTAATGTTGTTATGCTATACTACATGTGTTAAAGTTGTGCTCAAATTGTTAACTACGTCAGTCACTGTACTTAGCTGAACCTCCTAAGGTACACTGATCTTAAAGGAGTTACAAGAAACAAAAGGCACTTTTAGGCCCCCTATGATCATCAATTAGCATTTCCAATGCCAAGTCATTCATCCCACTACAATTTTCGCTAAATCAGCGAGCTCAATGCATAATTTTACTTTAAATTAGTGATGTTGTTCATTGTCCCAAATCACCCATTCATGAAACTTTGATCAGCTATGGAAAGCTAATAATTTTCCTTTTCTTAACATTATATCAAATGAATGCATTCTTATCAAAAGTGATTGGCAGGTTCTTCAAAATGGGATTTCCTATGGCTTTGACTGATAGCTTTGGTTATACTTTTGCACTACAAGAATAAATCAAATACCTTTCTATTAATTTTGCACATTTTAATGTGAATAACACACTTAGCTGTCAAAACTGTTACTTTTCTTTCACATGTGTAAAGTCCAAGTCCAATCTACCTTTCTTAACTGGTTCATATTAATTTTTTTCATAATGCTCAACTATCTGACACCAAGTAGAGAGCTTCTTCCTTTATTAAACCTATCCTGGGCGCCTAGGTGGCTTAGTCGGTTAAGCATCTGCCTTTGGCGTGGGGTCCTGGGATCGAGCCCCTCATCAGACTTCCTGCTCGGTGGGGAGTCTGCTTCTCCCTCTCCCTCTGCCCCTGCTCATGGTCTCTCTCTCTCTCAAATAAATAAAATCTTTAAAAAAAAATTTTTAAAAACCCACCTTTACTCAGTCACATTCATTTTTTGAAAGTGAAGAGTAAAATTGCGCATTTGGTCCAATATTAAAAAGGAAGTTTTGCTTTCTAGCCTCCTTTTTAACCTTATCTGGTTAGACATCAAAATAAAATGAATGAATTGTAAAGGATATTATAACCAGTCCTATCTCTTTAACATGAAGGTCCAACATTACATAAATTCTCTCCAAAATGTAACTCTTGCAGAGGTGAAAAGAGAAACAAGACACAGGAGATTAAGAAAATATGTGGGTAGTATACAGCTACTGATAGAATTGTGTGCATGCACAGAGTGAATCTAGAAGAAAAAAAATACAGATTTGATAAAGTCTAAGATAAAGGGCTCCAGGTCCAATTAAGACTAAGAGACCTTACAAGTTTTTCGATAGGCTTGCTAATGGAGTAGGTTCTTATATAAGGACTTGAGACATTATCTAAACAGTCTGACTGAAGGATGCTTGTTCACTTGTTAGACATGTATGACATTACTGAGAAGATTAATTTAGAGTTCTAGAAGTAAAGAAGACTGATTAGCTTGTGCAGGTGTATGAAGAATGACACATTAGCAAAAGGTTATGTAAACCATTTACTCAAAAAACAAAGACCGGATTTGTACATTCTCAGACTCTTACTTAACTTTTTCAAACATTAAGGACCTGAAATTCTTTGAACACCATCAGATTTAGTTGATAATAGTTCCAATTCTGAATTAAGAAATTATTCATGTAGTTTTAAAACAAAGACAATTAAAATTTTTAGTCAGATTGAACATGTTTATACTTCCTTTCTTCAAGAAGTCCCACCACTGAAGTATACAGATCTTATCAATATAGCATTTTTATTTTTTTAAACATTTTTCCCTCTACAATAATGTATACTAAAGATTTAAATGTACTGCATACTGTTTTAGTAAGAGGCACACAAATTAATTAGAATATTAACATTATCCCTTAACTCCAAAAGTAAAATTC